AGAGAGAGAGAGAGAGAGAGAGAGAGAGAGAGAGAGAGAGAGAGAGAGAGAGAGAGAGAGTCTTTGATCCGTAGTTTTTTAAGGTTAATGCTTGCCACTCGGGCAGACACAACATGCATTTGGGGAATAAATTGAAGAATATTGGGCTTGCTGCTAAAAGTTGCTGTGGCCACTGGCTACTGTAGGTTGTTTCAGAAAATTTTGGGGTTCTGTGAAATCGTTCCAGCAACGACTTTGGCAATTAACTTTTACCTATGTCTGGTGCGATTTCTGTCTGTTTTCAGCTGAAATGTGATCATTTGGTTTGACATCTGCCGATTGGGCGCTGAGTCTGATTTTGGGTCCCGCTATGTACAAATTCTAATGGTTGTGCAAGTGTGTTGTTCTTGCCATCCATCAGGGCAGGAGTATTCATCACTGGAGCAGTGTGTCTGGGAGCAGCGATTGGCGTTTGGAGGCGGTTCTCTGTCAACCCACGCCACGTACTACCATAACTTGTCACGGATGGGTGTCCCATTCACTTGATCATTTTGATTTGTTGTGTGGGCTGTGATCTGTGTCCTTGAGTTCGGCGGTGCTGGAGGCTCGACACTGGTGATGGCAGGGGCAATATCCGGTTTCAGTGCCCGTGGCGCTCGGGCCATGGTTCATTCTAAACACAGTGCTAGAGTGATGCTGTCGAGATTGACACTGACCCAGGGGAAAGGTCTCAATGCCTCCTCATTCAGCGGTTGCGGAGCACAGTCCACAGGTGGTCCTTCGCTCTTTTCGACTTCCATCACCTCTTCCTCCCCCATCTCTGGTGCCGTCTCTCGAACACAATCGCCCCGACTTCCCTCTTCTTTGTGTACTTCTTCTTCTTCTTCTTCTTCTTCTTGCCGTTCATCCACGTCCTTCACATCCCCTTTCACTCGCTCCTCCACATCGTCTGCTTCTTGTTCTTTGTCGTGCTCTTCTTCATCGTCATCTGTTGCACGCACACCGTTGCCCTCCAGTAAGTGTGCACCTTTGCGGGCACATTCTTCCCTCAATGGTCCTTCAACTAGGCAACAAGCCGGCTCAGTCAGATCGAGAATTGGCTGCGAATCGGAGAAGTCGGTTGGTCGCAAGTACTGTACTCGTGCAACTGATGCAACGAGTTCCAGAGCTCTTTGCTATGGAGCGCTAGCTGCCGCTCGCATGCTGCACAGACTGAGTGTTGGCAAAGCAGGAAGTTTTTTTTGGGTCCAGGACGACGATGGTACGTAAATTAGGTAATTACGTCAAACGGGTTTCTAAATGAAAGATGGAAGAAGAGTAGAGAAGTCAGGATATAGTGGCGGTTGAGGTCAACGTCGGGACAACCGCCACGGGTTTCTAAATGTCGGCACATGTCATTGTTACCTGGGCAATGTGTCGGGACAGCTGCCACGGCTGCGACTTGCTTGATTGTCACAGTCAGAACTGACATGTCTGAGATATGTTGCAAGGAGACCGTTGTAGTTTCATTTGTACGTGGGCAAAGTGCAAACAACAGTTGTTTTGTCTTTCTGAAAAAGATTCAAAGTTTGATAACACTGAAGACAACAAAACTCTTTTTTTCTATAGGTTTCGGTCTCATGGTGTGATTTCATCCGTCTTCGGAGATTGTCCACTCCAGAAGCAAAACATCGTGTACCTGGTTGCTCGACATCACTCTTGAATCTTGATCCATGACTAGTAAAACACTAGTCGTTGTGTTGGTTGCCTATGTGTACGACTTCCTCCAGCCTTCTCTTGCCCTGAGACGTTGTTTGAAGCGCTGCCGGACAGTTTGGCACGGCCGGACAGAATATGCCCATGTGCAAGGAGATGCCCATGTGCAGAAGAACATAGTTGCACTGTGATCAATGATCGCCAAGGAGATGCCCATGGGCAACAACTTGAAGACAGTTCTCACATAGCTCTTGAGTGGAGAGAACAATGAACAACAGACATCAAGCCAACACATAGGCAGGAGGGCATGGGAGAGATGGAAGGGCGTACAACACATGTAGTATGGAAAAGAAGACCACAAGAGAAAGTACTTAAAAAAATATATAAGGAAGGGGGGCATGGGAGAGATGGAAGGGCGTGCAACACGTAGTATGGAGAAGAAGACAACCAGCGACAGTACTAAGAAAAAAAATACAAGTACATAAACAGTAAACAACACACATCAAGCCAACACATAGGCAGGAGGGCACGGGGGAGGCGGGAGGGCATATAACACATGTATGGAGAAGAAGGCAATCAAGAGAAAGAAAGTACTGGGGGGAGAAATTGAATACCACGGAAGCAAGAAAAGCGAAAAAAGCAGTCCTTCGGGACATCCGTTAAAATTGGAACGATACAGAGAAGATTAGCATGGCCCCTGCGCAAGGATGACACGCATAAATCGAGAAATGGTCTGGGTGAGGACGCCGCCCGGCCGGTTGGGCCCGGGGGACCCGCCCGGGTAAACTGGGCGGGCCAAAACACCGCCCATAATTTTTTATTTTTTATTTTTGAAAACGGGGTCGTTCTGCGCTCGGTGAGAAGACCCCGAATCCGCAATAAAATTTTGGTTNGCAACCACCACCATCAGATCATTTGTGATCTGATGGCTGGGAAGCACTCTGCCGTGATTTCCGGTGGCAGGTCTCTGTTTCTTTTTTTTTTTTTGGCCTTTTTCCTGTTTTCTCAGTCCAGAAATTCCTAATGAACGTGTCTGGCCGCTGCCACTCAGTGTCACACTGGATAGGCCACACTCCTATCCCACTGCTAATGGGACCATGCCCCAGGGGGAAAAAAAAAAACGTTTTGACTTTTTTTTTTACTCGCCCGGGTGACTGGGCAAGAGGCTCCAAGTTGCACTGACCTGGTTGCCCGGCCGGGCGGCTGGGCCTGTGCGGAGCCGGTAGCCCAGGTCCCACCAAAAAAAGATTAAAAATAAAAAATCTAGAAACAAACTACATCATACATCAAAATAAACTAACCAACCTTTTTTTTTTTTTTTTTCAATTTTTGCCCCAAGGTTATATCAAAATTCTTTACCAAATTCAAGATTAAAAATAAACTTAAAAAATAACTATTAATATTATAATCAGGGTAACCGACGTTCGGGACGAGCTGAACGCCTGAACATACGGGACCCCTTGGGGATGCGTTCGATCGTTCGGCCGAACGCGGAAAAAAAAAGAAAGAAAAAGAAAAAGAAAAAAAGACAAGTAAAAAAATCTGAAAAAACGATATGTTATGAAGAAAAATAAAATAAGCAACATTTGCCTGACCATTACATCCAAATTCTTTACCAAATTTGAAATACAAATAAAATACAGAAAATAAAACTAATAATAAAAATCTGAAAAAATCAAAAGAGAATTAAAATTAGTTAGTGAGCGAGCACGTTTTTGACACCGCCATCTTTGGCGATTTTTCATTTTTTTTTTGGCATATCCAAATGCCCGGAAAATTTACTGATGTGTACTTCACATAATAAAAATCTCATTAAAAACGTTTCAAAAAATAATAAAAGTTTTTAGGCCCTGCAATAAAGTGAAAACAAAAAGTAAAAAGTGAAAAAAAAAACAAAATAGTGAGTGGGCGAGCACGTTTTTTTTTGTTTTTTTTTTTCCCTTAAAAAACAACCCCTCCAGTGTTAGTGATGCTGGTATAAGCAGCCACCACTAACACCTGGGGAGAGGCTCCATCTATTGGTGGGGAGCGGCACCTGCTGGAAAACTGTCTCTTATACACATCTAGATGTGTATAAGAGACAGGTACGGCGGTAGGGTATGGCGGCGGCGGCAGGGTATGAAGAAAGGCAGGGAGGGAGTAGGGAAGGATGGGAAGAAGAAAAAGAGGAGAGAAGAAGACCTAGCGAATGGAGCAGAAGAAGAAGAAGAAGAAGAAGAAGAAAGGTCGAGGAGAAAGATGAAAACGCGAGGGGGAGGAGGGTAAGAAGAAGACGAGAGGACGACGAGAAGAGGAGTAGGAGAAGAAGATAAGCGGAGAAGGAGGGGGAGGAGGACGGTTTTTTTTTTTTATCTTTTTTTTTCACCTGTCGTGTCTTACGTGACCTACCGAATGTTGACGAACTAGAAGATGAAGAAGGAGGAGGAGAAGGAGAAGAAGAAGAAGAAGAAGAAGAAGAAGAAGAAGAAGAAGAAGAAGAAGAAGAAGAAGAAGAAGAAAGAAGAAGAAGAAGAGCCGAGAAGGGGGGGGGGTAGGTGGACGGCTTGTCATATCTCACGTGGCCTACCGAATGATCAAGAAGAAGAAGAAGAAGAAAAAGAAGAAGAAGTTCGCCGGGGCCTTTGTCGTTACCTGCAACAGTTAGCCTAGCAGCAGGGCCTTCGTCTGCCCGTCCAACACAACCCTAAAGGATTACGACAGGAGGAAGAAGAAGAAGAAGAAGAAGAAGAAGAAGAAGAAGAAGAAGAAGAAGAAGAAGAAGAAGAAGAAGAAGAAGAAGAAGAAGAAGAACGGCGCTCTTCGTTGTTGGGGCCTTCGCCGTAGCAGCAGCAGCAGGACAGTCGGGGCCTTCGTCGTAGCAGCAGCAGCAGGACAGTCAGGGCTTTCGTCGTAGCAGCTGCAGCAGGACTCTCAATGGCGATGGCGATGGCGACGGGCGACGGGCGACGGGCGACGGGTGATGGCCCAGCAGGACGGCGCAGGAGCAACTCCGATCGTGCTGGGGGGCGAGTGGCAGACCAGCCGATCCCAAGTTTGGCACCTAGATCCAGCGGCTCTGTGGCCGTCGATCATGGTGGCTCGACGGCCACAGAGCCGTCACAAATTTTCAAAAATCCCGCAGGTCTACCGGGCCCGACGGGACGGTTTTTCGGGCCAGTCGGACCCGGTAGGCCTGCGGGAGGCCAACAGCAGCGAAAAGGGGGTCCGAGACCCCCAGACAGGTGAGTGCGCTGGGGGGGCCCGGCCCCCAACCGGGTGCCCTGCCCGGCCAGGCCGCCCATGACCTCCCCCGGGCCCCCGCCAGTCAGCCGGGCGGCCCGGATCCCCACCCAGGAAATGGTCCATTTTTTTTTAATTAAAAACTCAAAGCGAAAAAAAAGCTAGGCTACCAGCCGGCCCGCCCAGGTCACCCTGTTTTCCCAGGCGGCCTGGTCGTGCAAGGATCGGGGACGGTCCCAGCAAAAAAAAAAAAAAGGAAACTCCTAAAGATCCGAAAAAAAAACTATGTTATGCACAAAAATAAACTGAACAACTTTGCCTCAGGGTCCCATCGAAATGCTTTACCTCTTTTTTTTTGGGAGGGGGGGGGGGACCCTTCCGGGCAAGTGGTCCCGGGCCACTCTGGTAGCCTAGGAAAAAAGTAAAAACTGATGATGTTAGATTGTTTCGTCGGACTTGCACCGACTCATCAGGAGGCTGAACCCTTGACAATCTGCAGAATTCCCGTATTGATGACTTGGGCCATAACCCCTTTGATCCTTGTTGAAAGCAGACTGTCCACAAGCGAAACACAGCAGCAGAAGGCAACAACTCAGCGGAGTTCACGAGGCAACGCTGCCGGAGCTGCACAACACCAAAACTAACTGCATGAAGAACAGCGCAAGCGGAGAAGCGGTACTGTAACAGCGCAGTGAAGCACAAGGCAATGCGAACAACTCAGCCGCACCATACAGTGAACACAGCAGCTGCAAGCAACGGCATGCGAAGCAAGCAGGACGGGTAGAAAGGCAGTAGCAGAGCAGAGACAAGGCAGGCCAGACATCCAACATGTAGCAAAGCAGCACATCACCGACTCACATCATGAGTGAACCCTTCAGACTGTGGGTTCCAGTGTTACAGGCACTCTGAACACCCGACCACCGACTGTTTAGCACTCCTTTAAGGTGCTCAGATGGACACCCAGAAAGTACTTAGAGAAAAACAAGGAAAACAGACACACAAAATACAAGAAGAAAAGACCTACATAAATCTGGCTTTGTGTGTGTGTGTGTGTGTGTGCGCGCGCGCACGCGTGTTAGAGTACTCCATGTAATCATGTCGAAGCATACTATGAAACCCGTATTATGATCAAGCTCCAAAATAGTATATTGGCGCAACCCCATTATGCTTATCAGGCAGACGCAGGAATTATCAAGCCATTCAGCCCGTACGGGGACTCCTCGAGGGTTTCAATGAGGTACATTTGCACAGGTGATAGCGCTAACTTGTGGCCATAATGCGATCTTCCGAGGACTGTACTAGTTAGGGGTAAATACCAACAAGGGAAGGGTTATTCCATGCACAGAGTCAAGTAGTTAGACAGTCGAACCATAGAGTTAGTTACATGAGAAAAGGCTAGCAGTGGATGTCCAATTACCAGAGAAGGTTATATACGCGATATACGGTGAATTTGATACTTCTTCCGAGACTATACCTTGACTTGCAAGTTTTAATTTGGGATGTAAGTCAGGAAAAAGATCGTCAACAGGACGGTGACTTGGCCAGCCGACCTGCAACTCATTAGGGTTCATAGTACTTCATACCCTTTGGCCAGCCAAGTGAATGGAGATGTTATACCAACTAACCACATCTCAAGACGCTGAATGTCCTCGTCCGAACTGTTTTGATCGATCACAATCCAGACTCGTAGC